AAAACCGGCACTTCTAAGCCCATAACTTTTCTAACAGACATCCGATTTACTAATGGCATACTTCCAAATGATTGTGGTTTAATTCTCTAAAAATCTGTATTTGCAACTTTGTTTGTATTTTTGGGGTCGATTTTTCGTCATTTTAATGATGTTACCCCTTTCCACATTTTCGAAAAATGGCTTTGCTGAAAAGTCACCTAAAACCGGCACTTCTAAGCCCATAACTTTTCTAACAGACATCCGAGTTACTAATGGCATACTTCTAAATGATTGTGGTTAAATTCTCTAAAAATCTGTGTTTTCAATTTGGTTCTTATTTTTGGGGTCGATTTTTCGTCATTTTAATGATGTTACCCCTGTCCAAATTTTTGAAAAATGGCTTTGCTGAAAAGTCACCTAAAACCTGCACTTTTAAGCCCATAACTTTTCTAACAGACATCCGATTTACTAATGGCATACTTCTAAATGATTGTGGTTAAATTCTCTAAAAATCTGTTATTTCAATTTGGTTCGTATTTTTGGGGTCAATTTTTAGCCATTTTAATGATGTTACCCTTTCCAAATTTTCGAAAAATGGCTTTGCTGAAAAGTCACCTAAAACCTGCACTTCTAAGCCCATAACTTTTCTAACAGACATCTGAGTTACTAATGGCATACTTCCAAATGATAGTGGTTAAATTCTCTAAAAATCTGTGTTTTCAATTTGGTTAGTATTTTTGGGGTCGATTTTTCGTCTTTTCAATGATGTTACCCCTGTCCAAATTTTTGAAAAATGGCTTTGCTGAAAAGTCACCTAAAACCTGCACTTCTAAGCCCATAACTTTTCTTACAGACATCCGATTTACTAACTGCATACTTCTAAATGATTGAGTTTAAATTCTCTAAAAATCTGTGTTTTCAATTTGGTTTGTATTTTTGGGGTCAATTTTTAGCCATTTTAATGATGTTACCACTGTCCAAATTTTTGAAAAATGGCTTTGCTGAAAAATCACCTAAAACCTGCACTTTTAAGCCCATAACTTTTCTTACAGACATCCGATTTACTAACGGCATACTTCTAAATGATTGTGGTTAAATTCTCTAAAAATCTGTTATTTCAATTTGAATCGTATTTTTGGGGTCAATTTTTAGCCATTTTAATGATGTTACCCTTTCGAAATTTTCGAAAAATGGCTTTGCTGAAAAGTCACCTAAAACCTGCACTTCTAAGCCCATAACTTTTCTAACAGACATCTGAGTTACTAATGGCATACTTCCAAATGATAGTGGTTAAATTCTCTAAAAATCTGTGTTTTCAATTTGGTTAGTATTTTTGGGGTCGATTTTTCGTCATTTTAATGATGTTACCCCTGTCCAAATTTTTGAAAAATGGCTTTGCTGAAAAATCACCTAAAACCTGCACTTTTAAGCCCATAACTTTTCTTACAGACATCCGATTTACTAACGGCATACTTCTAAATGATTGTGGTTAAATTCTCTAAAAATCTGTGTTTTCAATTTGGTTCGTATTTTTGGGGTCAATTTTTAGCCATTTTAATGATGTTACCCCTCTCCACATTTTCGAAAAATGGCTTTGCTGAAAAGTCACCTAAAACCGGCACTTTTAAGCCCATAACTTTTCTAACAGACATCCGAGTTACTAATGGCATACTTCTAAATGATTGTGGTTAAATTCTCTAAAAATCTGTGTTTTCAATTTGGTTCTTATTTTTGGGGTCGATTTTTCGTCATTTTAATGATGTTACCCCTGTCCAAATTTTTGAAAAATGGCTTTGCTGAAAAGTCACCTAAAACCTGCACTTTTAAGCCCATAACTTTTCTTACAGACATCCGATTTACTAACGGCATACTTCTAAATGATTGTGGTTAAATTCTCTAAAAATCTGTGTTTTCAATTTGGTTCGTATTTTTGGGGTCAATTTTTAGCCATTTTAATGATGTTTCCCCTCTCCACATTTTCGAAAAATGGCTTTGCTGAAAAGTCACCTAAAACCGGCACTTTTAAGCCCATAACTTTTCTAACACTCATCCGAGTTACTAATGGCATACTTCTAAATGATTGTGGTTAAATTCTCTAAAAATCTGTGTTTTCAATTTGGTTCTTATTTTTGGGGTCGATTTTTCGTCATTTTAATGATGTTACCCCTGTCCAAATTTTTGAAAAATGGCTTTGCTGAAAAATCACCTAAAACCTGCACTTTTAAGCCCATAACTTTTCTTACAGACATCCGATTTACTAACGGCATACTTCTAAATGATTGTGGTTAAATTCTCTAAAAATCTGTGTTTTCAATTTGGTTCGTATTTTTGGGGTCAATTTTTAGCCATTTTAATGATGTTACCCCTGTCCAAATTTTCGAAAAATGGCTTTGCTGAAAAGTCACCTAAAACCCGCACTTCTAGGCCCATAACTTTTCTTACAGACATCCGATTTACTAACGGCATACTTCTAAATCATTGAGTTTAAATTCTCTAAAAATCTGTGTTTTCAATTTGGTTCGTATTTTGTGGAGTCGATTTTTCGTAATTTTAATGATGTTACCCCTGTCCAAATTTTTGAAAAATGGCTTTGCTGAAAAGTCACCTAAAACCTGCACTTCTAAGCCCATAACTTTTTTAAAAAACACCTTCATACCTCCAAATGATAGTGGTTAAATTCTCTAAAAATCTGTGTTTTCAATTTGGTTCGTATTTTTGGGGTCGATTTTTCGTCATTTTAATGATGTTACCCCTTTCCAAATTTTCGAAAAATGGCTTTGCTGAAAAGTCACCTAAAACCTGCACTTCTAAGCCCATAACTTTTCTTACAGACATCCGATTTACTAACGGCATACTTCTAAATGATTGTGGTTAAATTCTCTAAAAATCTGTGTTTTCGATATTTTAATGATGTTACCCCTTTCCAAATTTTCGAAAAATGGCTTTGCTGAAAAGTCACCTAAAACCTGCACTTCTAAGCCCATAACTTTTCTAACAGACATCCGAGTTACTAATGGCATCCTTCCAAATGATTGTGGTTTAATTCTCTAAAAATCTGTGTTTTCAATTTGGCTTGTATTTTGGGGTCGAATTTCGATATTTTAATGATGTTACCCCTTTCCAATTTTTCAAAAAATGGCTTTTCGGAAAAGTCACCTAAAACCTGCACTTCTAAGCCCATAACTTTTCTAACAGACATCCGAGTTACTAATGGCATCCTTCCAAATGATTGTGGAATTAAATTCTCTAAAAATCTGTGTTTTCAATTTGGTTTGTATTTTGGGGTCGATTTTTCGATATTTTAATGATGTTACCCCTTTCCAAATTTTCGAAAAATGGCTTTGCTGAAAAGTCACCTAAAACCTGCACTTCTAAGCCCATAACTTTTTTATTACTATTTGAAGAAGACCCATTCCCTATTACCAAAGATCAGGGGCATAGTCGGCCGATCCTTATGACATTTGGTAGGTCGGATTGATTGGCCAAATATAAAACCCATAGAAAATCCCAGCTGCCTAACTTCACGAACAAAAAAGTTATGGCATTTCCGATCAATCAGTTGTATGGCAGCTATAGGATATAGTCGTCCGATCTTTATGACATTTGGTAGGTCGGATTGATTGGCCAAAACTAAAACCCAAAGGAAATCCAAACTACCTAACTTTACAAACACCAAAGTTACGGAATTTCCGATGGTTCAGTTATATGACAGCTATAGGATATAGTCGGCCGATCCTTATGAAATTTGGTAGGTCGAACTTTTGTTTGTTGAAATTGCGTTTTCAAAATACAAATTTCTAATCATGACTGGTTTAACCAGTTAAAAAGTGTTTTAATAATACATTTACATTTGTTAATATTTCAAATATTAGGGCAGAAAAAAACCCTCTCGCACTCTGTTCCTATGAAAGGATAATTCAAAATAGATTAAAGTTAAGGATAAGAAGGGTTTGGTAAAGATATTCACCTAAAAGACTGCAAAAAGGCCTGCATGATGTTGTCTACAAACGACTTGCTCCTAGAAATAAAATAATCACTGGCTGTGCGGTAGGTGAAAAACTCCACTCGCGCGGTAGTGAAACATTGCTATGTCTTACATTAACGAAAAACATATTCCCGTTAGCGAGTACATACTCCATATTCAGCAGATATATACATATATATATATATATATATATAGATAGGTTGCGGTAACACATGATCACTGATCATACATAATCAGTCATGGATCAGTAATATGTGATCATCCATTATCAGTCATTGAACAGTTATGTATATGTGATCGAATTTATTCTGTCGAACGCTCAAGATACAAAAATGTCAAAATGTATAAGCATTATAAACAAAACGGCAAGATAGGCTTGGTGAAAACGTACATTAAAAGATAAATGGTGTCTTGACGGTTCGATCTCCAGTTATCGGGGAATATTTGTATTTGAGATTCTCTTAAAGTAGAATTGAGAAAATATCTGGTTTCCACAAATTCGATATTTTTTAGCCAAATATTTATTTATTTATCGTTTTTCTATTTCATTTAGAATATTAAGTCACGGCACATAATAAAAGAAACAACATTTAATTATAATTGATAATGTTTAAAGTTCCGTATAAAATTAATCATCACTTAAAGAAATTCCTAAAAAGCCTTTGTATAAATGTATCATAAAATTAAATATCTAACCATTAAAAAAAATAGTATTCAAAGATAGATAAAATATAACATGCATTTGAGATTGACAAGTTTCTGTTCATGTTTTTATGTTTTTTATTTCCTTAATTTGTATTTAAATTAACAAAGCGTGAGAACTCGAGTGGAAACTAAAAGAGTTCCTAGGAACTGAAGTCACATCAGTGCCAGAGCGCCAGAGCGCCAGAGCTGGAGTAATATTTTTTGTTTTTAAAAGTTCGACTGACATTTCGTCTGACCTGGAAAAACATCGATGATGCCCTGCCAAACATCGATACTACCGATGTTATTAAACCATCGGTGTTAGCATCGGTGTTTTCCGACCTCTACGTGGTCGGTCACACTGGTTTCGATTTTTTTGGTGGATGGTGTGTGCTCAGCGAAGCGGTCGGCAAACAATTCAAAAGTAGCAAAAGCATCTGAAAAAGAACACAAGCGGAAAAGTACGGAAAATAAAACCCTGCGGACTGTGAGCGTAGAAAGACTGATAGCCAAATATATTACAATTTCGACAAGTCGTTGAAGCTCGAAGTGCTTCGAAGGAAGTGGAAGAAGGACAAGCAAAAATTCGTTCTCTCGACACTTCCTTTGCGTCTCTCTTTCTTATCGCCTGTGCGTGCGAGAGTGAGTGTGGCTGTGTGAGTGCAAGAATCTGCAAGAAAGGCAACGCCAAAAGCGAGAAATCAAGAAATAAAACGTAGTGGCGTGTGAATCACGAGCAAGCTGAATCATCTCACTCACAGCAATAGCTGCTTCTGTTGGCCGAACAAATAATTGCAGACGAATTCGTAAGAATGGAGCACCACGAGGACAACGCTCAGCTCGACAACTACTTGCAGAACCGATTATCCGAGAGCTTGCAAATTTCCGGGGGTGCCGGTGAGCAGCATCTTCATGTGACCGACTCTGCCGGCGAGGAACTTTCCGCTCCTGGTATCGAGTCCTCTAAATCGGATCAGCGGGACGGCGATGGGGACGAGGCCGAGGAGTGGAAGTACATAAACGAGGTGCAGCAGAGCGAGAAGCTGCAACAGCAGCAGCTTCCTCAGAAAAATGGCAACGGGTTCGGCCTCGGTCCGCAGACTGAGGGTCTAATCCTGGGAAACAATGCTGCCGCTAGTCGCAGTCTGGCTTTTGAGGAGGAGGATGTTGAAGTGATCAAGAACGATGGGGACTTGTCCACGAACTCGAACACCACCACTTCCACGGGAGAAGTGGCGGCCCAGGATCCGCAGCGATCCCAGGAAGCAAACCTGTTAGGGGAGCAGCAACAACAGCAGCAGCTGCAGTCTCAAGATCAGGAGGACGAGGACGAGCCCAGCTCTGTGGCCACCACCTACGGAACCAGCAGTCTCAGTGAGAATAATCCGACACCCTTGGAGCAGGATGAGGTCGTCCTGGTACCCCAGCCAGCTGTCCAAGAACTGCTGAAGGGCTTCGACAACAAGGAAAACTGTGATTATGTCCAGGAACAGGAGGAAAGTCACTCCCAGCTGAATCCCAATGCTGTTGCCTTTGTGCCCAGCTTTGGCTCCCAGCCTTCCTCTCCTCTTTCCGCCGTGGAAGAGCCACAACTCGGATTGCCTCCCCGCCAGCTCTTGGGTGTTGGTCCCTTGGACGATCTGGTGGCGGAGAGTCCCCGCAAAGGCTCCGTCAGGGAAAACATGGATGCGATTGCAGTGCCCGATGAGCGGGAATTCGACATTGAGGCGGATAAGAGACCCCACGAACTGGAGCAGGAATCGGATATATTTAACGCAGGAAACCTAGAGATGCAGTTGTTAAACGGTGTAGGAACCGCTGAGCCAGCTGCCTTGGCGGATCTCCTAGACCACGGTCCAGAAACCTGTGTCGATATGGACTTGTCCCTAGATCAGCTGCCCGCCGGCGGCGACATCATGAAGCAATCGCTTTATGCGGAGCACAACGCCTCCATCGAAGACATCCTAAATTCCGTGCAACCCTTGCCCACTCAGACGGGTGACGAAAAAGAGCTGCTCAATGTGGAGGAAAAGGAGCATGTCTCACAGTCGCCTTCTACTGAGGAGCTCCAGTTCCAGCCCGAGCAGCATCGGCTGCCATTGTTCAACAACTCTGACCAAGATCCCATGCAGGCTTCTTTTTATTTGGAGCATATTTGCATAGAAGCCCAAAAGAACGAGCAGCAAGAGCTGGAGCAGCTCCCAGTGGAGGACTCCGAAAAATTTGCCGACCAGAGCTTTCTGCTGGACACCAGTGCACCAGTGTTTAGTCCCGAATCAAACTCGCCTTTGGCAAAATTGGAGCTGGAATCCCAGCAGGCTGACATTGTGGACATCACACCTTCGCCTTCTGCTTCTACTGAAGAAAAGCATCTGGTCGAGGACACCAAGGAGTTGGTAGAGGACCCGGAGGTGGCGCTTCAGGAGACTAGGTGGAAACAGGAATCAAATATCTTCGAATCTTTTCCACAGGTAAACTAAATTGAAAGCAAAATGATTTCATAAAAGTACCATATAGTGCTTATTATACACTCGTTTTTTGCAAGTTCTAGTTCCAAATAGTGATTTTTAATTATTATAAGTTGTGCCTCACATAATTTATTATTTTCACTTGCTTTTGCCTTTGCCTTTCACCTGGACACCGGCGTAAAAATCATTAAATTTGTTGGTATACTCCTATACTATACTGCATTTGCTTTCATCCCCGCCACTCCCTACATTTTTGACTCTACTCTCTTTCTGAAGCTTTGAGTTGATTCGAAAAAAAATTGTTTATTAATGAGTAGACTGCATAATTTTTCGGCTCAAAAGTAATTCTCGTGGAAGTTAAATTATTATAAGAATAATTATATTTTAGGGTTTCTTTCACTATGTTTACTGCTGTGCAGTTGGGCCTGTTATTTTTAGGATTTAAAAAATATTTATTTTTGGGCATTGAGTTTTTCTATTATTTTTTTAATTTATCTCTCATGAGAAGTTATATTATTATAATAAATGTTCTTGATTAGTTTCCTTCCGTAAAAATATAAATATTGGTAAATATTTTATTTCTACCTTTGAACATTTATATACTCTATTTTTGTGCACTAAGATGCCAACGCCCAATTAAGTTCAGAGGGTATAATCTTTTAATTTGCAACGTAGTGAAAGGCACATTTCCGACCGTATAAAGAATATATTTACTTGATTAGCATAGCTAGACGAGTCGATCTAGCCATGTCCGCCTGTCCATTTTTACGCAAACTAGGCCCTCAGTTTTTTCGGTTGCATATATATATATATAATGTATATAATCCCCTTGATCGCATTGAGAAATGTATTGAATATTTATCCTGCTGTGCTCTTCCTTTGTTCGTTGCATTCGGGTGTGGTCCAGTTGAGGGACGTCATCACTAAGTTTTTCACCATACAGGACATGCTATTGCCAGGAGAATTAAGAATTATGTTGTCTTCATAGTTATAACAAACTGTTAAAATTCATTTTTCATACTCTTGTAAGGACTGCGATTTGTTTGTTTCCTGCGTTTTTTATATCCTAGTTTGCGTTTTTGGTGCTTCGAATTTCTTCTCGTTCAAGAAGTAGTCACATAAAATTATTTAGATTTCTTCGTGATTTCCGTTCTTATTGGGATTTCTGTAAGTTGTGCCTAATGCATTTCTGTATGTACTCCAATGAATCTTAGCCTTCTCTGCAGTTCTCTCTTTTTCTCGTTCTCTTTTGTTTTTCATCTGCAATCTGCATGACCAGCAGAAACAACAATAACAGTAAATGGCGTTGCCAACTGCTGCAAGAGCTGGCAATCTTTTCGCTTCGCTGCAAATTCCAGCTCCAATGCACACACACAGACACGCTTTCATAATTACAACAACGATAGCAACTGCACAGACGACCAGAGATAGATACATAGTTGAAAAAAGAATTAGGAGAGAGTGGACAGAGTTAACTCTGCTCGCTCACTTAATTGGGTCATATACATACATATGTATGTATATGGTGTTTAACCTGCACATTTATGTGATTTTTATGAATTTTGTGCCTGTTGTGCATTGTTCTTAACTAAATCCTATCACCATTTCCAATCGAGGTTGGTTTGTGTAAAACTTTCGTACATTTTTTTTTAGCTTTATAAACTGATCCGAAAATATAAGTTTCTTAAAATAAATTAAAGCTTCCGGGCCTTGATGTGGCTCTAAAAAATAATTATTGCTTATATGTACGTATATAAATAAGAAACAGAAAATTAGTCAAAAACAAGAAAGGAAGCAAACTTCGGGATGCCGAAGTTTATATACCCTTGTAGTTATTACAAATCGACTATAGCTCAATTTCTATGCCTATATTACTAGAAACAATGAAGTTAAGTCGACTTTGCGCTGCATTTTGCCATAGTTTTTATGGCAGCTATATGATATTGTTGTCCGATTTTAATTTAATTAAAACCGTAATTAAATAATATTTAAAAATTACAAAACCCCAAAGAACAACAAAATATTAAAAACAACAAAGTTATAATTTTTTTTTGATTTTTTTAGTTAGTGTGTCCTGCCGTTTCTAAAACTTCTGCGACAATAACTTCGTCGTGTGTCTTGTTATGCTAAATGATTTGATAAGTTTTAATTTCAGTCAAAAGGGTGCAGTGAAGCAGAAATTTTCGACCCTATTTTAATGTTAATATATATTATGAATAGTAATAACAAGAAAAAAATTTTCTCAATGTACTTATTTCGTTTCAAAAAACACTGTCTGAAATTAATTAAATTAATTTCAATCGTTCAGTTTTATGGCAGCTATAGGATATAGTCGGCCAATCCTTATGAAATTTGATAGGTCGGATTGATTGGCCAAAAATAAAACCCATAGGAAATCCCAACTTCCTAGCTTTGCAAACACCAAAGTTATGGCATTTCCGATCAATCAGTTATATGGCAGCTATAGGATATAGTCGGCCGATCCCGGCCGTTCCGACATATATACTGCGTGCAAAGGAAAGAAGGGTGAGTGCAAAGTTTCAATTCGATATCTTTAAAACTGAGAGACTAGTTTGCGTAGAAACAGACAGACGGACAGACGGACATGGCTATATCAACTCAGGAGGTGATCCTGATCAAGAATATATATACTTTATAGGGTCGGAGATGTCCCCTTCACTGCGTTGCACACTTTTGACCAAAATTATAATACCCTCTGCAAGGGTATAAATATTTCGCCAAAGGGGTAGTGCCAAAAGCATCTATTGCAATCTAGCTAGCATTTATTGCACCTTGACTTCTGATCACTCAAAGCTTTATTAACTCAACACTTATCAAATGCGCCTTCCTCTAATCAGGCGACCGAAAACATTATTTAATAACACGAGTTAAATTTGTTCACGCGTCTAAGTAATGACTCAGGTTTTTGTCGTCGCGTTTGCAATCCACAAGAAATAATTGTAATAATTATAATTGCATATAAGGTTTATATTGTGGAAGCAACTTTCGCCAGTGCAAATATAACACAATACGCTTGTCATTTAATTAAACCCTTTTGGTTTAATTAAAATTTATATAATTTACATATAACATTCCTGATGTTATTGTTTTAGATAGAGTGAAATGATAACTGTCAGACCACATTATTAAACATTTGTTACTCCTTGTTATTTTATGTTAAGATATTTTCATCAGTACAGGATTGATTGAAATGAAATTCTTGTTAATCGTTATTAACCAACAAAAAATATTCTTGTTATACCCTTGCAGAGGGTATTATAATTTTGGTCAAAAGTGTGCAACGCAGTGAAGGAGACATCTCCGACCCTATAAAGTATATATATTCTTGATCAGGATCACCTCCTGAGTTGATATAGCCATGTCCGTCTGTCCGTCTGTCCGTCTGTCCGTCTGTCTGTCCGTCTGTCTGTTTCTACGCGAACTAGTCTCTCAGTTTTAAAGATATCGAATTGAAACTTTGCACACACCCTTCTTTCCTTTGCACGCAGTATATAAGTCGGAACGGCCGGGATCGGCCGACTATATCCTATAGCTGCCATATAACTGAAAGATCGGAAATGCCATAACTTTGGTGTTTGTAAAGTTAGGAAGTTGGGATTTTCTATGGGTTTTGTATTTGGCTAATCAATCCGACATGCCGAATTTCATAAGGATCGGCCGACTATATCCTATAGCTGCCATATAACTGATTGATCGGAAATGCCATAACTTTGGTGTTTGTAAAGTTAGGAAGTCGGCATTTTCTATGGGTGTTATATTTGGCCAGCCAACCTACCAAATTTCATAAGGATCGGCCGATTATATCCTATAGCTGCCATATAACTGAACGATTGGAAATGTCATAACTTTGGTGTTTTTAAAGTTAGGAAGTTGGGATTTTTTATGAGTATTATAAATGCATCATATGAATAATTTTGGAGAATATAATTTACAGAGTATTCTGCAAGGGTATATCAACTTCGGCTCCGCCCAAAGTTAGCTTTCCTTTCTTGTTCAAATTTTGATTGAATCACTTCTTATAACATCGTCTATAGTTTTTATACGCTTGCAGAATAATTTCAGTCAAAAGTTCGCAGTGAACAGCAATTTTCCGACCCAATAATTTATATATATTGTTGATTAGCATTACCAGGTGATCAGCATCGGTCTACCTATGTCCGTCCGACTGTACGTTTCTACGCAAAATAGTCCCTCAGTTTTAAAGCTATTTGGATGAAAGTTTACAAAAAGTATTCTTTCTGTCGGAACTTGCCAGATCAAATATCAGCTATCGACAAATAGTCCCCATTGCAACAATAAAATAATTTTGCTGTTTCTTTACATATGTGAGATACTTTGAGATATAGTATTTTTATTTAACCATTTCAGAAATATGGTTGTTTTTCTTTCGCATAGCAAATCGTATACCATGACGGATAGGATACATTGGTGGCTCTAGTTTTTGTCAATCATACTATCGCTTACGTCATAAATAAGTCTGAAAACCCATTAAGGTTATTAACTTAATTAAAATAGCCTTCCCACTCTATGAATTATTATGTTTTGCTCGTAAATTAGATAGCCCATTTATATGGATTTTGAAAATATTTTTCAGTAATCGAAAATGGTGAAGAAAGTTACAAGTTTCTAATCTCTTTCTAATAAGGAAATTTATAAAATTATTAGTAAACAAAAAGTTTGGCATTCTTGCAGTGTTATTTTTGTGGCCGTATTTGTATGCGTTTGAAGTCTGTACACTTTTGGCTCTGTTTACTGGTTGGGTGTATAGATTCCTTTCCGATCCTATCAGTAATAATATGGATCTGCTTCAAAAGGCGATTCGTTCAAACCAAATTTGAATTTGCCAGTCCTAGGCAAATTTAGTTGGATTTCAGTAATCGAAAATGGTGAAGAAAGTTACAAGTTTCTAATCTCTTTTTCTAATAGGGAAATTTATAAAATTATTAGTAAACAAAAAGTTAGGCATTCTTGCAGTGTTATTT